TGTAATTTTTGCCTGCCAATAATATACGCTATTCCGATAGTTATAAAGTAGAATCTATAGGAAAGATTCTTGTAATTGGCCAGCGCCAATTGCGCTTCCGCAAATTCCGCACCATGGGACATTAGAAAATATTTTTCGTCGGAACATATTTGGCGGAATGCCTGTGATTGGATGGACTTCGTTCCGCCAATTCCGCATTGCGCACGTTCCGCGTCCATGGGATCGCACCATGAGAAAAGCTGTGCGCTGATTGGATATCGCGTATCGCGCGTCGCGTCGTCGCGCTGGTCTGCAAGAGCCATAATTCGGAACGCACCCACGGTCTTGTATACAGTAGTGTCCCTAGAATAGATCTATTCTAGGGACACTAGTAAGACCGTGCATGCAGAGAAGCGAAGTCGGCAACACTGCTCGGAACTGGGGGTCTCTAGTTACTTGGATCGCAATTTTGAATAGCGTGATAGAGTCGAAACGGTTTGAAACGGTTCCTCTAGTTGCGCGATAATACATCGGGTTTCGGCGAATCCGGCAATTTTGCCTTCCCAAGGATGGACGAGACGCAGGCGAAAATCAAGACCTGGACGGAACTGATACAGTCGGGGAAACTGGAGGACGCGTCGGTGGATATTCAGGTTCGTATTGTTTCACGTTGGAAGTCGCGTCTTCTGCGAACGCATATTAATTTCGTCGTTAACATCTTCCAGACGAGTATCCGCGTCCGGCCGAGCAGCAAGCTGAACAACGATATATTTAAGTTGCTATTACACTTGTGTCGCGCAGCGGACAAATGTCACAAGCAACATTGCGAGGCTGGAAAAGGTGTCGCCAAATTAGCCAAATTGCTCTGCTCGCTACTGACCGAGGTACCTGATGACAACAACTTTGTCAAGGCCCTGTTCAAAATTGTCCGTTGTTTAATTTCTCTTAACCTGCACGACGACGCGGCGGAGATATGTTGTTACCTGCAGCCTGGCGGTTTGTACAATCCCCGAGACGACACCATGAATCTTCTGACAAAAGTGTTGTCCCTGTGGCAGATCTCGATTAATAATCTCACAGCCGAGCCTTTGAGCGCGGAGAATTATAACAAGCTGAAGAGTGTCCTGGGGTACGAGATAAAAATGGTACAAATAGCGCATAAGAATTACACAAACTATTTGATCACGGAGATAAGCAAATATTTAGATAGATTGGTAGCGATTGACAAGAATAAGACATATTTTGATGATTTTTATAAATGCGCGTTGAAACATTTGTCAGGGGTGCAGTTGCATTTAGACGAGGACGACAAATACGTAATATACTGTCATATACTTCGTATCATATGTAACATAGTGTGTAGGACCGTTGATGCGTCTGGCATTGAGTCTGCGATGAAACCATTAGAGGAACAGTTCAGTTATTTCGAGGCACTTCTGGCAGAAGACGAGGAATGTCAGCAGTGCTTTCGACAATTTCGCGTCTTGTGCACGACCCTTTTAGTGCCGATGGAGGGTATTGTCGGCGACAGTGCCAAAAGCATACGAAGTATTGTTGACTGTGACTCGAACGTTGCGCGGAAGTATGGATGTGCGGGAGGTCTTCGATGGAATGCGATCAGCGCCGCGGAGATATTCGAGCCTGTGCTTGCTTACTGGGAAAAGCGCGTGGATGCCGACAAGAGCACGCTCGAGCGTTTGCTCGACACTGACGTCTTGCTGGAACTAATGAATTTGTTTGTACACATGAACAGAAATGAATTTTACTCCCAGCACGTGTCGGTCAAGTGCAAGTCGTGCCTGGGCAAACTCTGTACAGTTAAGAGGGACTTGTACAACGCGTTGGTGATGAAATGCAGATTAGTCAGTCTAGCATGTAAGTTTCCCGTCAAAACTCTGCCGGCGAAAGTGTGCGCTGTTGCTAGGAAAATTATGAGGCGAAATGTCGAGTGGGTCATTCGCGAAATGAAGGAATCCGAATGTAAGCGCTGGAGACAATCGTGGAACACTTGTCGTAATTTAACTTACAACGTAGGCATACTGTCTGAACACGTATACGAGGAAAGTGTGAGCTTGTTCACCTTCTTGTGCAGTTGCATCTCTCAACTCGACGGAGTCGAACCGAGCCCTACAGATTCTGAAAGCTTCAGGAATCTTGAGAATATTATCTCTTTCGTGCTGGACAGATTGAGCGTTGTATATTACAGCAATAATTTGTATAGGAAAGCTGCGACTGTGTGCGCATTGAATGCCTTGTTAACGTATAACCAGTCAAACACAAAAGCTTTTCGTAGATGGGTGCACATTAAGAAAATTACTCCCAAAGAGGTCGCAAGCTTATCTATGCTGGAGTGCTTGACCAGTAATGAAGATGAGATAATGAGCGAACTGGGACTTTCAATCGATGTCTCTAAGTACGACGTTACCGCATTGTGTCTGCGTGAAGTGAAAAGTTTACTGGAGGAACAGGTCGCGTTTGAGAACGGTGTGGCAGCGGTTCTGGAAAAATTGAGGAAGCTACAGCCAAGTGATCAATATGCACACACGGTGCAGTTATTAGGATATTATTTCTTAGGTTTCAATTACGCGAGCTCTATTCTGGAGTGCCATGAGCAAGCTATACACGATTTGAAGCAGAAAAAGTCGAACTCCGTAGCTGTTCTGTGCTTGGAAGCTAATTTGAGTCTTTTTACTTTTGCGGAGAACTTGCGAGTCATGATTAAGCAAACTCAATTGGAAATAGAAAGTACAACGTTTGCCCTGTGCGCTCCCAAGCTACGAGATCTAGTCGAGAACAAATCACCAAATGTAGTTCCTGCTTACACTATGATAAATGTAAAAAAAGACACCAATCTTAAGTTGTATCTACAAAACTGTTTGAAGAAGTGGAAACAACTGTTTAGTCGCTACTTTGTAAGTTACTAGAGAGTATTTATTGTGTCGGGCTATTATCGAAAGCTTGTGGTCCAGTAATCATGTGAGCGTACTTTATTGTCGATAGAAAAGAATTGTCAAGGATTGGGAGCCTAAGCTTATACTTTGCATGCTGATAACGGCCGGTGAATATGCTCGATTATATCGGTATGAAGACTGCGAGGCTGAAATATGGACATTGGCATACAAGCTGGCATTAGAAACAAACGATCATACAATTATTTATAGTATGTTAACCATTGTAATAATTTAGCATTTATCACAATTAAGAGAAGAAAATGTTTCATTGATGAGTTAATATCTTGTTACAGTCACGAGTCGTTGTATATCGTTGAGACAAATCGATTACGATTGGATTACCACTGCCAGGGAACATGTTGCGAAGTACAGAGATTCCAAGGACGGAGATGTAATTGCTACCATTGCTACCTTTTGGATAAGTTTAGCAGACATCTATTTTGAATGTGGAAAGGTAAGAAACTACAAATGTAACCTGAAACGTGCAAATATTTTATCTAAAATATAATGTGTATGCAAAATTTCCTGTTTTTTTCATTTTTCTAGTATGCTGATGCTAAGCAATTACTTGCCGAAGCTAGGAGTCTTCCAGGAATCTCATTTCTTGGCAATAAATCCGTGTATCTGTTAAGTTTAGATGCTATTATACGCAACAGCCATTTTTATAACATGCAACACGAGGATTATTGTTCTCATGTTGAGGAAACTCGCCTTGCAATGAGGAGCTTGAATCAGGATCTGTTGAAGGAAAAATGTAATTATAATATTAAGCTACGTTCAATTTACACATAAAATTACTCGACCATTCACAAAGAAATCTTTTTCCAGGGGCAAATCAAGTGACGTATCTTTTCAGTTATGATGTAGTTTTCACCACTGCAGTTAATTTGTCCATGAGAATAAACAGTCTATTATCTTTTCGTGGTATCAGTCCGGATTTAGTGCGACTCTTAAAATCGGCACAGAGTCTAAACGTAATGCTACGTACCGCCGAACTGTTGAAATTGTTGTGTTACATCGATCTGTCGCGTTTACAACTGGACGACTGCGAGGTGAAGCTGCAAGGTCTCGAGCACATGTTGAACATCGAGACGTTTCAGCTGTCGATGGAGTCTAAACCCGTTGAGATACCAGTCTCTCATCTCGCGGTGACTCCCACGAGGATCGCGGATCCTGTGAGAGACGCGCCGCAGCACGACGCTTCCCCAGTGCTCGGCAAGAAAGTCTTCGACTTGCCGAAATTTACGTTGCACAGAGATTGCGACTGCTACAAGTGCGGCAACGTTTCGTACCAGTACATGGTGTTTGTCACCACTTGCGTCAGGGCGCAGCTGTACGCCTTGCAGAATCACACTGCGGCAGCGCTAGATCACTTCCACGGCGCTTTCGAAATCAGGCGGAGACTGTTTGAAGAGGAAAAGTCAGTGCTGCCTGAAAACTGGCCCCGTGATGAAGTCGGAGCGAAGCGATTTTCTTGGCAAATACATTTCTACATCACCGATTATATACAATTGTTGATCGACTTCTGTTACTTTCTGAAAACGAAGATGGCATCGAGACAAGAGGACGTGCGCGATATTATCAATTTAGCGATCAATGTGTGCCGCAAGTATCAATTAAAGGAGCATCCCGTCTATAAAATGGCCGAGGAATTGGCACTTGACCACGAATTCCAGCTGGCATTAGAATCTTCAGACTTCAGGCTAAGTATGTACTCTCTAACATCTGGCTTTCTTTTTCAAGACAAATTAAATAAGATCTTTGCATTTATTTGCATATATTATATATTGCATTATGATACTTTCTGTTGCAGAGTTTGTAGTTCCGCAGCCGCATGACATTGATGTAAGTGACCACGCAAAAACCTCGATTGATCCAAGCGTATGCGTCACGCCATCCGTTCAGAACCGTCGTGCCAAGAGGCCTGCTTCAATTCGACGTAGAAAGAGCCCGATAGCTTTGAAGACTAAACTAAATAAAATTAATCTAATTTGGAGCGATGACGAAGATGACGATAGCTTATCACCGCCGGCCACGTACTCTAATAGAAAATGCAAATCGTATACAAATTTAGTGAATAGAAAAATTTTGGAGGAAGATTTAGTGGATGACATTAATTTAGATGTAGAAGACTCTGTATCCAAACAAACAAAGTTGGAAAACGCGAATGAAGATAGAAACAGTACGCAAAGGAAATCGACGAAGGATATTATGATCGAAGTGACATCTTCAGTTCCAGATGTATCGAAGAGTTTGATGAACCTGGTAGACAAGACAAATTTACCTGCCACGACAGAAAATATTGATAAATTGATAGAAAGTATAGAGAACCTCAAGATTAAATCGAAGACAAGAAAAAGTGTTAGAGATACGAAGCAATTAACTGTCGCTGATTATAATAAGAATATAGATCAGGCCATAGAGTTACTGAAAGACATGGCAATAAAGGAAAGGACAAGTGAAAATATTGATTCTTCTACGCCGACAAAACTTGAAAACATTGATAAATTGCAAAACCACAAGGTTCCAAACATGCATAACGAAAGGAAATTTTTTAAAACCAGAACATTGAAAGAAAAACTAGAAAAGAGTACATCGAACACGTTATTAACGAATGAGTCTAAAACTTCACGAAGTAAATGTCCCAAATTACTTTTAAATGATGAAGCCGTCGATACAAGGACAACAAGGTCCAGTGACAGAAGGTGTAAAAAACAAAATCCATCGTAAAAACAATATTAATGTAAAAACTGCCTATACATACTTACATAGTAATATGGAATTTCGTTTTGTAATAAATCGTTGTATAGAATCTTGTAAAATTTCAGATATAGTTTCAACAAAAAGACTGCGTATATTCCAGCGTGATAAATTATTTTTAATAAAAGTTAGGTTTTATAAATAAAGATGCATCGTATTGTATTATATTTAATAGAAGATTGTAGGGTTTCATGCATTATAAATAATTTCGAATAGATAAAAATAAATTCAAAGTTTATATTTTCTATTGTACTTCATGAAGTCATACATTTTGTTTTATTTATTTAATTATTTTATGAATTCTATTCAATGAGATGTCGATTATTTTGTACTTTTATTCTTGTATTCTTGAAATAAATATACAAATGTCCAATCACAGTAGCACATCTGATGAGGGTGAGGGAAATAAATATGATTGGTTAATTTCTTAAGACTTAAGCCTACCACACAATGCCAGGCAGCAGGCCATAGAATTTCTGACGCATTGGATTGGTTGGAAGAAAATGTCCGACGAATCCAGCGCGTCAAAAATTCTATTTCCTATTGCCTGTTGCCTGGCATTGTGCGACAGGCTTTATACTTCCTGCCGTGGCCATGCACTGCGTGCGTCTTCTCGCGCAACATGGCGACCGGCAAGGGTCTTGCCGCGATTCTTCGCCCGAGGACCATCAACCTTATCGGGAACAATAAGCTGAATAAGTTCTCGCGCAGCGTTTTGCGGCAATGCAGCGCGTGCCAGCGATACGTGGTGACCGTCGCGTCTGCTGTCGATTGGAGTAGCGACAAAAGTAAGATACACCCTCGTGCGCATACGAACCTCGCTGTATTACATCATTCTCATTTTTCCGACGAAACTCCGTACCCGCGGCACTTTCGCTGGCCTGTCAACAATCTCCTCGCCCGTCGTGTCGTCGCTCCCATCCTCGACCGTGCGAATTTCCATCCGCCGTACGTTTCCCGTCGTGAGACACCCGCCGCGTGCACGCGGTTTCTCAATGCGCTGACATAACCTGCAAATCAGCATCGCATGTATAATGGTTGTGATATATTACATGACTGGTATACACTGGACTGTTCTAGGAAGTCAGAGCTTTTTCCTTCAGAATGCCATTGTCTATCTGTATAAATATTTATATTAATGTCAACTGTTACATATCAGAGCTGATCCATTCTATATTTTTAGACACTCTGATATTTCTACGAGTCATTTTACTTTATATATTAACAACGGAAAGTTTTCAAACCTTTGTAGATATGGGGAAAGTAATACGTCGCTGCCGTACTAGAAAAGTAACAAGTCAAACAATATTGTGGAACAATTTTTAATTTTCAATCTGCTTTCAGATCGAACCTCTGCTCCAAACGCAACTGAATTGCCAAATTGTTTTTATTCTTTTCTTGATAGATTTTTCTCCATAATTTGAAAACTCGTCAAACATTTCTTGCTTTTACTATTTTTAAAAGTAAGATATAATCTTTGCGCTGATTCTTTTCTTGACACTTAAAATGTATACACTTTTGGTTAAAAATATGTACATTTTTGACTTGATAAATTATGAAAACTCTTTATTTCTGACTTTTACCATTTTTCTCGTGCAAAGATCTATTCTAGAAAATCAGTTCTTTTTTTTCTTTGGATGCTATTATTTGCACTTGTAAGTGGCGATCGTGGCGCAGAGGATTGTGCGCTGGTCTGGTAATCCGAAGACCCGGGTTCAAAACCAAACAAAAACATTGTTGGTTTTTCGTTCGATCGCCACATAGCGAAGTGGATATAGAGAGAGGTGTTATAAAAGGTTTGGGCACGTTCCTTCAAAAACGCCTTGTAACCCTAAGGGGAATCAATAAAATATACTAGTACTATTTGCACTTGTATCCGAATAAACGTCGACTGACCTACGATGGAGAAGTTAATTTGCTCTATAGCTTTTTTCAATAATTATCTTTGCTTGTACAATACATTGTCATAATTAGACTTAAACAACGTCCATTGCAGACGTAGGGAGAATAGCGCAGCAACACAGGGCCATACACCTAACAAGTAGACTGTTAAAACGCAACTATTACGAGATCCTGGGCGTCTCCAAGAACGCCGCGGCGAAGGACATAAAGAAGGCTTATTATCAGCTCGCGAAGAAGTATCATCCTGACACGAATAAGGGAGATCCGGACGCCAACAAGAAGTTCCAAGAAGTTTCCGAGGCGTACGAGGTGTTAAGCGACGACACCAAGAGAAAGGAATATGATACGTGGGGCGCGACCTCGGAGCAAATGGGTATGGGAATGGGCCACGGTCAGGGTGGGCCCAAAAACTACAGTCAACACTGGCAGTACAGGTCGACCATCAATGCCGAGGAGCTATTTAGAAAAATATTCGGCGACGCCGGATTCCAAAGCGGGGCCTTTAACGATTTCGAAGACTTTACGGAAACCAAGTACGGTTTCGGTGCGGCTCAAGAGGTGCGCGATTACGATTCGTATGTTTCCCCCGATTGACGCAAGGTGCCGGTAACGCTCCCCTCTCGTTACAGGTGATAATGAATTTGACGTTCTCCCAAGCCGCCAGAGGCGTTAACAAGGACATCAACGTGAACGTAATAGACGCCTGTCCGAAGTGCGGAGGTTCGCGCTGCGAGATAGGAACCAAGCCGGCGAAGTGTCAGTACTGCGACGGTACGGGAATGGAGACGATAGCCACCGGTCCTTTTGTAATGAGCTCGACTTGCCGGTACTGCCAAGGCACGAGGATGCACATCAAGTTCCCGTGCACGGAGTGCCACGCGAAGGGACAAACGGTGCGCGAGTGTTTCTACACCCGCAGATTATCTCGTCGTTGCACAAATTGTATTCTAATCGCATTTTCAGGTACAACGCAAAAAAATAACGGTGCCGGTCCCAGCCGGAGTAGAGGACGGCCAAACGATCCGTATGGCGATGGGCAACAAAGAGATATTCGTGACATTCCGCGTGGAGAAGTCTCGGTACTTCCGCCGTGACGGGCCCGACGTGCACACCGACGCGGAAGTCTCGCTGGCGCAGGCGGTGCTGGGCGGTACGATTCGAGTGGAAGGCGTGTACGAGGATCAGACGATACAAATAATGCCGGGCACGTCCTCCCATACGCGAATCCGCTTGAACGGCAAGGGACTGAAGAAGGTCGACGGACTGGGCTACGGTGATCATTACGTGAATGTCAAGATCACCGTGCCCAAGCAATTGACGGAAAAGCAGCGGGCGTTGTTTCAGGCGTACGCCGAACTCGAGACCAACACTCCCGGCAGTGTATACGGTGTAACGTATAAGACGGACGGTAAGGACAAACGTTGAAATAGATTATCATTTTTAATATCTTGTCTCGAGTTGTCTGTCGATTTGTACATACGTTTGTTTGTAACGTCGAATATTTCATGGATTATGCGTCGCTTGAGTTTTCCCCTGTGTACCTGCTATTACTAATTTAATAAAATATGTTACAATGTTACAAAGGCGTTTCATTGGCGTTTCTCGAAATGAAACGAAAGAAATTCTTGTACGAAATTTTTGCGATAACGGAAATTGGAGTGGGACTTAATATGTAACTAATTCAGTGTAAGATTTTCAAGTAAAGTCTTGTTCACTAGTAGCCTCAATGTTTTTTCTAGGCACGTCAGGTCCAAAGACGCAAACTCAAGCGAGGCGAGAGGTCCAAAATGATCAGAATGATGGTCTACTTGGAAAAATTAAAAAAGCTATATTTGGATAGAGAATGAATTGTAAGTAGAATCAGATGGAACATAATTTGTGTCTATGACGCATTTACTGTAAACACACGATATATATATATATTCTATAATTATAACTAGAATGATCGGAATGCTTGTGAACAAAACTGCAAGGCCTAATCTACAATGTGCTCTCTGCACCAAGAAATATTCTATTTTATATCAACTAATCGAGACGCTTAAAAAACTTGTCGACAATGTACGCGATTGTATAACATACAAGAACCCCGCACTAATCATATAGGAAATTGGATCTCGGTTAAATTGGCTAGTTTTCATATGTGTTGTAGCTTACGACCTGCTGAACAAAAAATGTAATGGGCTCAAACTTAAATAATGGCTAGTTACTGGGCTACAGCCAGTCAAACATAGAAAATTTGGGCTCCGCGGGTCTTGTTTGGAAATACTCTGAAGCATATTAGGAAAAATGTTTCAGACAAAAGTTGTTTGGTTCGATATATATTTGTTTGGTTCGGAATAGACTATATTTCATTATGTAGGGGTTCTTTATCAACTTGCACGAATTTTTGAAACGTATTTATCGACTACGAAATAGAATGTTTCTAGACGCAAAGAACACATTGTACATCAGGCTTAAACCATTCCCCAATTCTCTAATTATACGTTGTTTCCTACCAACCTCAAAGGATATTCAATTACATTTTTTATGTTTGAAGTTCATTATCTCTCATGGTAAAAATGTCTCGCAACAAGAATAATTTTTCGTAATTTCAAGTTACCATTAAAAGAAAACTAGTTGATTTTACGGGTCTTGAACATTCATGTATGCATCCCGGCAAAAGATGTTGGAAATATACCGATGTAAATTTCGCAGGTACGAAAGAATGCTATTCAGGTCCATTGCACTTGGTGGAGTCTATACGAGTAGCGTTAGGAAATATGCCTAACCGCGAAAACCAGTCTTCATCTTCCGAGCCCGAGCATCCAGGAGACAAACCTCTCAATAATAGGCCCATGCTTACCAAAGATACGTCGGACATCGATAGCAAGAATGACGCTAACCCTGGAATGCAGCGACAGAAAGTGCCCCAATAATCGTGGACATCTAAAGCAATCCGTAGCGATCTAGAGGATACCGCTCGCGTTACGTTACTACCATAAATAAGTAAATCGTATATACACGCCAGCAAATTATTACAAATGGGAGTTTGGGCCTGAAATGATGTACACTTTCGATCAAGTTAAAAGAAAACGATGATTATCGTTGCGAGCGAATAAGCGATGCTGTCTGATGCCGCCTTAGATAACACATAGCTGTACAGTACTATCGTAGCGTACAAATTTGTCTTTGTTACATCTTATTTAAATAAAGTGTACATGAAGATAAATATAGCTGTTATCTGTTAATCTTGATCGAGACAATGTATATTTGTAAAATAAACTCTGCTCAAGACGTATCCCTTTGCGTATACCTAGAAGTGCAGTTATTCTTTTTTGTGGATTCTTTATTTTTCTTCTCGAGAGCAGACGTTTCATCTACATGAATCATATAAAAAAACGTTTGGCTACACGAAGATATTGCCTATCTCGTTTGGCTACGTAGCTATCGCGCGTTTTAGCTTGCGAAATAAAGTGTGTATCATTGAAAACGTTCATATCTGCGTGATCTGTATTTTTTTTTTGTAATTGTGTAATTACAGATAATCCAGAGGTCAAGGATAGCTTGTAATTATTCGTCAACTTGGTTTACAAATACTGAGTTTGGTAGATCGTGATAACATGATGACAGAATATTGACGAATTGTGTATGCACATACGAGAAACTGAAAAAATGTTAAACGGATTAAGCTTCAGTCAGTAGGCCGTACTTCAATCCAACGTTTGTAAGGCTTTGCGTCGCTGATACTCGCAATATAGCTACCACTATCGCCGCGATAGTGACAGCACCTTCCAGGTACAAGCCGTACAGGATCCGCACGTGGCCGGCAGTGGTAGAGAGGCCGCCTGCCGCAGTGAAGTCCAACGGAAACAGTAGACTATCTGCGATCGGTCTCGATCGTGCTATGCCAAAGCACAGCACCCCCAAAACATAGTAAGCGACTACAATGGAAATTCCAAAGTCTCTTGAATCGTACATTCATTTTGTATCGTTCAATTGTTATTCACTTTCACACTTTTGTATTTTGACTGACTCTTGTGAAACAAATTGTAAACGCGAGACGAATTTCTTTATAGGCTCGTGGTGAAAGGTTTACCTGTACCAACGAACGACATTATTTTGATCCACCTTGGCATCCGTCTGGAATAGCTGGATTCTGTGTTGCTAAGCTGCACGCTTCGTCTGGCGGACGCATAGTTTTGTAGGTAAAACGCCACCGTGAGGCCGAAATTCAGTATAAGTAGGAAATGCGCGGGAATGCCGATGGCTGCAAAAATCACTCCGACCGTGCGACCAGCGGTGGTGCGCGGAACCGGCGCGCCGAAGCCTGTAAAATTCAGGGGAGGAAGAGGAGAAGGCGTGAATAGAAAGATTTATAATTGGCCGCGGTTAACACACCTAAAGTGGTGATAAGCGATATAGCGAACAACACGCAGCCGGGAAACGTCCACAGCTGTCCGCCGTTACCACCCTCGCCGTAGCCGGAGCTGACGGCGATCAAGAGGACTCGCTCGTGTTTGGCCACGTACTGGCGAACCTTGTCGCTCCACAGCGGCTCCACATCCTGCTCCTGCTCCGTCCGCAATTGTCGCAACTCCGTCGCCAGACCGACCGCCAGGTCCTTCTGCATACTCTTCAGCGACACGACCTGCTCGCGCTCGCGAGGTCCTTCCGTGGCGCAGAACGCCGCCGCGCCCGCCACCGTCCATATCACGAGCAGCCACAGGAGACCTGCGACGAATTTAGAATCAATTGTAAATGTAGTAAATCTATTTAATTACACGACAAATTTCAGCTGGTACGTACCGAGCTGCGACAACGACAGTCGTCCCAAAAATCTCAGATACTTCCAAAATCTCGAGGACTTGCCCGCGGAATTTCCGTTGTCCTCCTCGATGTCTCTGAGGGACGGCAGAAACCTCAAGCGCAACGGTAATCCCTCTATGGTCTGGACAGTTACGGACTTTGTCCATTTCCTCGTCCGTATTACGCCGTTTTTCAAGCGGGGCGAGATCTCCGGGGATATTGTGGTCGGTGTGTCCGTGATTTCTATTTTTGAACGTTTTACATAAGCAGAGAGGCATCTGTATATGTACGACAGAAAATTTATAATATTTTGCAACAGCCTCCGACAAATTGCCGGCGTCTTTTTTAAAATTTAAAACGCCGCGCAGTATGTCAAGTCGATTGAGGAATGATTGCTCTTCAATCACCGGAGAAAATGTCACGTCAAATCGATTTCTCTTTACGTTCACGATGATGGCTGTATTAGTAAAACACTTTTCTGATCGATTGCTTGGAACTTTGTAACACATGTGCGTTGCTGAAAAAGTTATTCTATCTCTTCCTGCATGCATAACTACTGATACGACGATTATACTTTTCTTTCAAAGCCTTTTCATTTACAGCCTCAATTATTTACACGAATATTAGATACCGGTCGCCTAAGAACACTTTGCGAGCTGCTTACAAATTACAATGTATTTAATTCATTTCAAAATTTCTTTCCATTTTTAACATTTTATTTTTGTTGTATCGAGTACACGGAGAGAAATTTCTCTTAAAATTCACCCTGAAAATCATGTAATCGTGAGTGAGACTACACGGCATTTCGAAGAATTTTTTAATTTTTTTATAAAGATTACATTGTCGCGCCAATATTTTCCCCAATAGGGAATATTTTTCATTAAACAATCTCATGACGCTTGAATTGATTTCAGTTGCTGGGTTTTATTCGCATATTTGTACTCCTTTATTATGCGAATCTTCTTTGCGAGTCCAATGGTTTATCGAAGAATTTTATGCGAGTTTTCTGAAATTTTACCACACATTTCACACGATAAGAAATTTTTCACGCATGTGAATATGAATTAATATCAACCATCAGTCCGGAAGTGTTAAGAAGTGTACGTGCTTCAGGAATTCAACGGTTGCAACGTTGCATCGATGCAAACGGACATCACTTCGAGCATCTCCAATAATGTAAGAATAATAGTTTTTTTACTACTGTCATGAGTGCGATATACCGCACATCAGACAACGACCTCGCACGCGGCAAGGTAGCAGATAACACCTGCCGCATGCGACGAAAACGAGTATCCGGAGCAAAGTACGAAACCATCGAAGCCGCGCATACAGTTGCTAACGGAACAACTGCTTAAGTACTAAACAATAAGCGGCCTGACAACAGGGCCAAGCGCGATTGATATAAAATGGAATGGAAAGGAAGGAAGGCGGGTCAATCTGAATTAAGTAACGATACGGTTAACGCGAGTGCGAGAATTATACTAGTTTTGAATAAAGAAGACTTTTTATTTAAACGGTTGTTGAATCGTCGACCTAGAGTCGTTGTGTGAACCCGGCAAACGATCCCGAATCACATCCCGTGCCCCGACTGCGTCGAGAGAGGCACAACACTACTTTATTAATGCCAAATGACCTTGCGCTACGTTTTCCCGCGATTGCATGATTTTCAGGGTGAATGTGAAGAGACAATTTTTCGGTGTACAAAAAAATGTCCGTCAATTGAAACGAAGTTTGAAGAAACTCAAGTAACATCTACCGATGCCGCAAACGACATCGTCATCGTCGTCCCCCTCGTCGTCCTTCGCGCGGCGCTCCGTCATCCTCACGCTCAGCTCAGTGACGCGACGGCGCGCAGCATCCTTGCCGAGGGTGGCGGTCTTGACCCGCGGATGGACCAAGTTCCGGGAGACGCGACGCCGCTTCTTGGTGGCCGAGGGGGCTCGCAGGGGCACGGCATATCGCACGCGCGGCGCAACGGGTGCCGGGGCACGTGGTAGCGTCGCGACGCTCGGCGCGTCACTGATTGCGAGGGGTGTCGCGACGCCCCCAATGGCCGGCGGTCGCGGGAAAAGGGGCACGTCCATCGGCTAAGGTCAAGATGAGCCGCGCTATAACCGCCGTGGGCTCCACGATCGCTCCCGGCGATCTCCCGGTCGATCGCACGATTGTTCATATTTCACGCAACAGGGAGAACTTCCGTGCCTCACGTATCGCGAGCGATTTCCGCCAACTGGACCGCGACGTCCCCGAGCACTTGTTGAATCGATTCATCCCCCCGCGTGGCGTCCCGTCCAGCTGTTCCCCTGTCTGGTTTACCCCGGGGAAACGTTACGCTCCGATTACTCGCTCGAGCGCAGTCCTTGAACTCGATTTTACGCGGAAGGGATTTATGCTAACGTATCTGTCGCTCGATCTTTTACTTCCGTCCCGTGTGTAATGACAGCGGCGTTTATTTTCAGTCAGCCAGCCGCGCCAGGCATTTAATCATCGTACAAGTAGTTACTTGGTCCGCGGCTATACCCGACCTTTCGATCTTGATAAACTTTTCCCGCCGGTCACAACTTCAATTTATCTACTCCTCGTGGGAATTCTTTTGCTTATTCATAGGCACGTATGTACACGGGGAGTCGGATCGATGAGCTTTGCACGGAAACATGCTTTACGTTCCATTAATAATACATCGCTATCTCTATACGCTGTTGAATACGTAATACACCAAATTATGGGCAATGTTTAACTTGTTAATCCACACGTGCCATCGTGTATCTCGCGGCTGTAAATCACGCGTCAGCCGCGTTTATGAATGACCCTCGATTACATATTCGTAAACACACACTTTATCCGACCTCGCGACACCGAGTCCCGACGGTGCGTTTCGAAACTTGCCCGCCCGCCAATCGTACGGATAAGGAACCGAGGCGCGGAGGAGGCGGCGACTCGGTATCTCGGAGGCTCTGGGAGCTACTGGAGCCGCGGAGATCTCGGTGCATTCGGCGCGTTGCACCGCGGCACGAACCGGAAGCGGCGCGCTGTGTATACGTGCACGTATACACGGCGCTCCTCCCCCGCGAACCGCTAAAATTAGAGCGCGGCCTTGGGAATCGATGACGACGACCCTATCGCCGCGCTTTCTGTCTATAACTAATTGCACACGTGTCCTACCCTCGATTAGACATGCTCCCGCGATGGATCCTGCGTGATCGCGCGCCGCCGAGACCCGCGCCCGTTCGATACCATGGCCGCAACCACGACAGGGCTGTTATGACGCGTCACGCGATACGCCAATTTATAGCCGACTCTTGTAATACGCAATAATCAGCCTCGGCGATAATGAGGGTTCGGAATTGATGTGTAACGTCAAACTTATCTCGCGGACTTCCGATAGAGTTTTTATCGTTTGCCCGCGCACGTGCGAGCAGCGTCTTCTGCTTGCGACACACGTATCTCTGATACCGCTGGAGAAACGCTCCCTTATTGAATTATCGATCATTTGACCTTGTTATCTGCGCGCACATTGTCTTCGCGCGTGCGGCACTCGATGTGATTTCGTGTATCGCACAGTACGCGACGATCGTGGGTCCAAAGTTCCTCGACGCGCGCGGAAAGCGTTTCCGAAATTTTATGTCGAAGTCGTAACGAAGGATATTTCGATATAATCCCACTCGCCCCTCGACTCGCTCCACGTGCTTCGCTTTCACGCGGTTGAAAATCGCGCGAACGGAGTCTAACGCGCAAGAAAGGTTCGCGTGCGATGTTTAAATATTTATTTCGCATATAACGACGAGAGTCCGGGAAAACAAATTAAAATTTTATTCCTTGTCGCTGTCAGATGTTGCAAAACCTTTTCTCTTCGATTGGTTCGACGTGTTACCTGGTAAACAATTTTTCACGCGTGAGCATGTACAAACGTATAGTACATTATAAAAAATATACATACACAGGGTGTATCAGACCACTCGTACCACCCGTTTATAAGCCTACTGGATGCTCCAAAGAAAAAAAATCTAATGTTTGTGTATGTAGCCTCTAAATCGGGTACGCTCTATCGATCGGTGATAGAATCAACTTCCGGTACCAGCCGAAAATGGGTTGTTTAGACCCAAAGTTGGGGTTTTTTAATGGAACATAATACTTTTATTGCAGATTCGGATTACCTGTGAAAAACAAGAACCCACACGGCACAGAAAGATTGCAGAAATGTTACATTGCAAGATTGCAATATTGCAGCAACGTTGCGCAACATTGCTGCAATATTGCAATCTTGCTGGAGTTCTGGAGGATTGCAGCAACGTTGAAATGTCCGCCTTCAGAGAGATTGCAGTGCAACATTATAGCAATGTTTTTGGAATAATTTGTCGTTGTTGTACATAAGCAGAGAATTTACTAATTACATATGCATCCGGGCCTTTTTCAATACACCTAAGGAGATTATGTTGCTCCGCAATAGATGGAGATTGCGAGCAACACCGCACTGATCAAGTACTTAATAATTCGCGCATTATTGGCATCAACGAAAATAACATAAAATTAGAAAATTTTTTTAATAGAAAATATAGTATTTTCATTATTTTTGAAACATTGCTGCAATATTGCTATCGAAAGTTTGCAATTTTATATCCCTGCAATGTCTCTACAAGATTGCAACGTTTCTGCAATGTGACTGCAACCATCTGTGCTGTATGGGTACATGCCCACACATATTTTTACATTGCATATTTCTATATAATTCTATGCAATTCTGTGTAATTTTATAGATTTATACATGCTTTTATATGAAAAATTGCTTATTTATAATTATATATAATTGTGTACAATTGTACAAAGTATAAATCTATAAAATTATATAGAACCGTGTAGAATTATATAGAAATATATTTCTATAATTTTATATAACACTGTATACGTTTACACATGCTCGTGCGTGAAAAATGTTACTGGCTATTGTCCTCATCACTTGAAATATTTGATACAAAAGGCACTTGCAATGTGAATCGAGGTATGAGCGTACATTATTAGTACATTCGCGACACGGACATAAAGATATGTTGCGAGATATACATTTGAACGCCGATGGGCAGCTCGGAGAGCGTAATCTAGGCTGAAATCTACGTGCAATTGTCCCGCCTGGAATCACGGGGCCGCGCGTGTTGCGCCTTCGTGGTTCGCCAGTGACGCCAGTGCGTTTGCGCGGCAAATCGATCCGCGAGTTTCGCCGACACCTCGCTAAGCGTCATCGTCGCGGAGCCAGTTTGACGGCGGATGTTCCCCGGAGGACTCGCCGCTTCCGCCCGTAATATGGAACATCGTTCCGCCGTTCTCGATCGACGAGGAGATCGGGGAACAACCGAGGTGCGTTTAGCCGAGCTGTCTGTCACTGCCGACTCGTTGTCGATCGCGTGCTAAATGTTCTCCTCAAAATCCCTCCTCCACGTTGCTAAAAATATGACGGCGAACCGAACGCCGAGCAATGTAAGATGATCCACTTTAGCCTCGCGCTGCGGGCGTCTCCCTCCTAAAAAGATCGATTTCAGATTTAGTAAATGGTATCAACCTGAATTAGCTTGTACAAGAACTTCCTTGCGTTTTACAATCTACGGCTATCGATGGATTAATTTCACCAACGTCGTCTTAGTTTCATTCATCCTTTGTTTCTATCCAACTGTTACCTCGGGATGAGACAAAGGATGGGATTCAATCCCCAACGTTCGGGATAGAGAGACAGATCACTTTTGACTCAAGTTAATTAGAGCCCGAACGTATCCTCAGATAAGAAAGCGATGCGCAGCCTCGCTCGCAAGCTGCTAGTATGGCCGACGTTAGTGCTGTCCCTCCTGGTGGCCGGCCGTCTGCTGTTCGGCCGCGACTTCCGGTTGCCGACGACGACCCTCGTATTTCGCGATGACGGCGCGGTCCCGACGTTGGACAGTAGCCACGCGAATTCGCAGCAGGACGCTGGTCCAGCAGGGCCGCCCGCCTACGCGGCGGGCATGTACATGGCGGGCCGGCAACCCCGCAACCAAAGTGCCTGCAGGTGGTACCACGGCCTGCCGGATGTCCTCTCCTACCCAGCATCCAGGCTCACCTGGAGTCCCGAAGTTGGAGAGAAGAGTCCCTACAGGTATAGAGACCAATCGTCTACGAAAGATCGCCGTTGTCCCGCTCTGCAATGTTAATTCGTTCTACATCTAATTGGTACGCGGGAGGGATTTTCTTGTCAAATTTATCCGGAAAATCACGTAATCACGGGACAACGTGGCATTTTGAAGAACTTTGGGAGAGCTTTTGAAATTTTATCGTACCCTAGTAGCACAATATATTGGCGCAATATTGGGAAATAATCCAACACAGCACAGAAAGATTGCAGGAAGATTGCAGAAATGTTACATTGCAAGATTGTAATATTGCAGCAGCGTTGCGCAACATTGCTGCAATGTTTCTGGAGGATTGCAGCAACGTTGAAATGTCCGCCCTGAGAGAGATTGCAGTGCAACATTATAGCAATGTTGCAGTGCAATATTTTTGGAATAATTTGTTGTTGTACATAAGCAGAGAATTTACTAATTACGTATGCTTCCGGACCTTTTCCAATACACAGCAAGCTATTGCGAAGCAACCTATAATATAAGGAGATTATGTCGCTTCGCAATAGATGGAGATTGCGAGCAACACCGCACTGATCAAGTACTTAATATTTCGCCCATTATTGGTATCAACGAAAATAACATTATAAAATTCTCGTAATTAGAAAAATTTTTTAAATAGAAAATATAGAAGTATTTTTATTATTTTTCAAACATTGCTGCAACATTGCTATCGACAGTTTGCAATTTTATATCCCCGCAATGTCTCTGCAAGATTGCACTGCAATCTGCAAGATTGCAACGTTTCTGCAATGTAATTGCAACCATCTGTGCTGTATGGGATGTATAATAAATCTAGTATTCCCAATATATATATTTGTTCGATATTGTAAGATGTGACTATGTGACTATTCAGCAATAATATTGGTCTAATATTGTATCAAGTTTAGGTCAATATTCTTATCACGGTTAAAAATATTGGCCAATGCACTTCCAGTACAAATCTAATATTATATAACAATAATGAAGCTTTTTAGTCGACGTTAACCAGTCAACCGGACATGCCTCAGTGGTCGAATTGGTGAGACGCCCGCCTAGAGAGTAGGGGAGTCCAGGTTCAAACCCTGGCTGAGGTAATATTTTTCGCAATAAATTTTCTGTAGTAAAACATTGGCCGGTTAATGTCGACTAAAAAGCTTCATTATTGTTATTTATTACTGACAACTTAAACAGATTTCTATGTCTAATATTATATAATTATTATCGTGCAATATTAATTAACATTTATTTCACAGCCAATATTGGCTTTACGTTTGACAATATCGGTCAATGCGTTTCTAATGTAACCAACATTGGACCAACAAATTTAGCCAATGCACTGTGCTACATAGAGTCATAAAGTGTTTCAAGATCCCACGGTTACACAATTTTACGGGCAAATTTTAAGAGAAAAGTGAATTTGCGCAGCAAGCTTCCTCCATTATAACAATGAAAATTAATATACGGGCAACACAGTGCGGAGTTTGACTGGTTTTGCTGCGACAGAGAGAACTCTTTCTCCGTGCAGGGTCCTGCCGTTCGTGTTGCTCGGCGCCGTCGAAGCGACGGACAGTTTGCCCCAGGTCACGCTGTCCACACACGCCACCGCCGACCAGGTTTACGGGATCGTGGAGCTCGCCAGACGGTGGGAGGGACCGCTCAGCCTGGCGGTGTTCGCGCCAGGCCTCGACGCCGGCCTCGCTGTCGCTCAGCTTGATCGAGCCTGTCGTTGCGAGCCTACCATGTACAAGGTCTTCTCAACTTCCTCATCACGATCGCGAACCTCCTGTGTGTCTAGCGCGATGCAACGCCCTACTGTCGACCCTCCAAGTTTTCACGCTTTCGTTAACAAGTCCACGTGATATGCGCTTTTAGGTCATCTGTAAAAAAATTAGAACGCTTTATTAGCGTACAGGCCAAGTGTCTTGTAGATAACGTTGTTTAGTTAGTTAATTTATTATAGTCTTTTAATGAAAATTACTTTATCAGTTTACTTAAACATGATAAAGCGCAGCGTGTATGCTTTAGTTCAACTTTTATGTTTCTTACGATTGAAATTGTTTACGTGACATGCGACACAAGAAAGAAACTAATATGAAAGTCTGTTGTACGGGCATGATAGACGCGTATTCCGTTATATCGACACACCTGCTTGTAATTAGCATAGCCATTCCAATCCGCGTGGAATGCGAATCTTCTTGATCAACATCAAATCAAGAATAGCGTATGATTCGTAAACAAAAATAGAAAGCAATGAAAGAGTGTAAGTCGCCAGTAGTTAATTAACAGTAGAAAGAATTATTCAACGACGTTAGGCTGGCAGATGTCTTTATTCATTAGATTCCACCGTTTCGACCATACGGGTTGTGCGTCCTTTTCAAGGAATTAGATGTTCTACAAGTTAACAGGACATTGCAATTTGGAAATTGTATCGATCACATCATGAATTTACTTTACGATACAATTTCCAAATTGCAATGTCCTGTTAACTTGTAGAACATCTAATTCCTTGAAAAGGACCACAACCCGTATAGTCGAAACGTTGGAATCTAATGAATAAAGACATCTGCCAGCCTAACGTCGTTGAATAATTCTTTCTACTGATACTGTTAAAAATAGAAAGGGGTATCGAACATAATTATCCAGACTTTACGATTAAACGGTAATTAACATTGTTGAATTATAAGAAATATCTCCAATATACTGAATTTACAAAGATAAATACGTGATATACAATGTGATAAATTTATTAAGTTAAATAATACGCAAAAAAAAACTCAAAAATTAATGAGCTGTCGATGACGTGTTGACTTTAGAAATATTTATTATATAGAGGAAAGTTCCCTATTATGTGACTAGCTCCTAATATGAGACAGCGGGGTTTCTGCTAAATTAATTATAGGCATCATCTGTTGGCTCCACCATGAATTTATTGCCCTTAGAGTGAAGTCTGTTTAGTGGAAAATTCATTGTTGGATCGTGAAAATGTTGGATTTGGATGCTGAAAACCCATTATCTCATATTAGAAGTCTATCTCATAATAGGATTATAATTATTTATTAATTATTAACGCATACCTATTCTCTCGATCAAATCGGTCCAGCATAAAATTCTATTTAAAATACAGATCTAAATGTACGTCACACTTTCGATACCATTTCTTTTTCTTTTACGAGATACAGCACAATATATATGTTTTCCACGTTCAACGTTCACCACCCTTTTCTCGTATGCCCAAAATTACACCGAAAAATTCGCATTCAACGTAATCGCACGTTTCTACTTAATGACTCGGCGATCGGCAGGTTTCCGTCCACCTGGTGTTTCCGGCCGGTCGACCGCCCGCCCTGGGCGCGATCAGTCGCGTCCAGGGCGACTGCGCCGCTTCCGATCTTCAGTGGCGGCAGGCCGAGACCGAGAGGCGGAAGAGGAGGATGACGTATCCCATCAATGTCGCCCGGAACGTGGCGAGAACGCTCGCGAACACATCCCGCGTGTTGGTGTCGGACATCGAGCTGCTGCCGAGCGCGCGGCTGGCTTCCGGCTTTATGGAGATGATGCACCAGAGACCGCCCAAGCGCGGCGTGGTCTTCGTCGTGCCTGTATTCGAGATAGAGTCCAATGAACCGCCGCCGGCGACGAAGCACGAGCTGCTCGCCGCCTGCCAAGCCGGCCTGGCGGTGTATTTCCATAGGTATAGAGGAAAGTCCCCTCTATGAGACAGGCTCCCTATATTATGAGGTAGCAGGGTTTTTGCTAAATTAATAAGCATCACATGTCAATGGTTCCATCATGAATTTATTGCCCTTGGAGTGAGATCTGTTTAGTGGAAAATTCGTTGTTAGATCGTACGGTCGTTGCGAGAAAAGACTTGCGATTGAACTTGGATGTTGAAAAGCCAGCTATCTCATATTAGAAGCTCGTCTCATAATAGGAGACTTTCCTCTACGTATAGTGGGACTTGCGTCGCAAGTGTCCTAAATTTGAAAATCGTCGACACAGTTACTTTCTCTCGATCGTGTCTCGTGAGAGACTCGAACAAAGTATCCATGTCGAGGCGAATTGCGTTAATGATCGGAGACGAGATCGGCCCCTCGCAGGTTTGTCTGTCCGCACTGCCAGCGATTTCCCGGGCTGACCAGGTGGATGATCAGACCGGATCCGGGTAGGATCCGACCGCTCATCATCACCAAAAGGGAATATCCGCATCACAGGTGGGAGCCGGTCTTTATTGGCACGCGCGACGACCCGCTCTACACGGAGGAGATGTCTTGGGAGGGCAAGCAGGACAAGATGGCCCAGGTATACAAGGCGAAATCCCCTTCAGCAATTGTGAAACTTTACGCGTGATTCTCTAATGTACATACATGTCCACCAGAGTGGATCAACTTTGATCTCAGTTTAACGTACTTTTTATCTTTCGCTAGTTTTAGGAATTGAAATAAGATTAAGAGTAAATTAAATCGACACTTTTAAAAGTTGATTCGCCTCAAGTGCACCTTTTAAAATTTACCCCGAAAATTATATAATCGTATCCTTCAGAGGTTCTGTTATTTATATCGTATTTACAGATGTTCGAGATGTGTCTGTTGAATTATCGACTGGTCGTGCTCGACGGTGCCTTTTTAGTGCATACTCCGGGAATCAAGCGGAAAGCGCGCAAGATCAGCGCGGCAACGCAGGAGTTCTTCCGGCCGCACGAGAGGAGGAACGCGAGGATCTATCAACGCGTGATAAAGCGACTGATCAAACGATATCCGATCAATCGTAGATGCGCGCAGTGAGATAGTTCAAAATGCCGGCGCGATACGTGAACTTTCCCGGAGAAAAAAAAACAGAGTTGAAGAAGGGACCGCTTTCGACACGCACGGTGCCTGTTTCCGTATACAATAGAAAAATATTTTTCGGTGACGTCGAATTTTACATTAGACTTAGGAGAGGCTGCGGGCTGGCACCAATCGCTTTTTCACCGCGAAAATAAAGGCTTTTTTTACTGAGAAAATGAGGGTCTTGGGCGCAGTGTATTCCTACAATTCCTTTCAGTTGAGCGATAGTCTGTGTCTTCAATTTTTCTTTGATTAAAATTTTAAGAATCATATGGATCCAAGATTAACGATAATCGATAGCACAGACCGACAAATTTTATACCCAAAGATCGGACTAAGTGAGCCCGAAGGTTTTTCACGTGCTGAACACGAATCCGTTGTACGTTTTTCTCTAGCACGTCAGGATTCTGAAATATTCTAATATAAATGTGCAAAAAAAATGTAAAATATCTCGTGAAATGTTATTTAGTTTTCGGTAAGCATATTCCGCGCACAATATGATTACCGAAAACTAAATAATATTTTACAAGATATTTTACATTTTGTGTAAAAAAATTGTTAACTTCAAACCCTTATAACTTGAAAAGTACTCAACGAAAAAAAGGTTTAATTACAGTGTTTTGGAAAGCTCTCAAGATAAGAATATGCAAGAAAAAGTAGGGAGTTCCATTTAAAAAAAATTAAGTTGACCTTGAAATGACGATGAAGGACATGGTCAAGGTCAAAGTCAAGGTCGTCATCTTACTCCCCGCTGCACACAACCTTGCTATCGGACATTTTCTCCAAAATGCATTCTAACTGAAAATACTAGGAGAGTCCGATACTTTTCGACGACCTTAATTGTATATTGGAAAACTTGCGCTGTAAAATATCACAAACGGTAGTAAGCAAAAAAATTCCTCTACGCGTGATAAACTCAAATATGTCTCACAATGGCTTTTTTGCACGTTTAGATTAGGATATCTCAGAATTCTGGCGTCCTAGGGAAAAAGGGACGACGGATTTGTGTTCAGCACACGAAAGACCTTCGGGCTAACTTGGTTTGATATTTGGGTATAAAAAACAGCGTTTGTGTAATTAATTAATTCAGCCCTGCGTCATTAATTCAGCCAGAGTGTCTTGTCACTTCCTTTCCATTCAAATGACGGAAAATTAAAAATTCTCTTCGTTCGAACAAAAGTGTTGGTGGACAAAAGTAATAGTAAATATTCGCGACAAATTTTATTTATATAATATATGCAATGTGCCTCGGTGGTCGAATTGGTTGAGATCCCCGCCTAGAGTGTAGGGAGTTCCAGGTTTTTGACCCTGGCTGAGGTAATATTTTTCGCAATAAATTTTCTGTGTTAAAAACACACCGCCAGTCATGGTCGATCAACTGCTTAATCATGGTTACTTATCTGCTGGCGTCAAATGATTCTTGAGTTATTCTCGACGAAGTTAATCATTGATTAAATTAATCGACGATTCATCCAACAATATTGCAGAATTGCTTGGACTTCTAACTATACGTAATTCAGTGTCTCTAATCTAATCTCTTTCCCACATGTTATATAAAAAAAAAATGATAAGTCTCTCCATGCGACAGTAATAATACAATCGATAGTAACGAATGAAATTGGACCGATATGAATCTTACAATTAAATAGGGAAGATGTCATCCTGATAGAACAGTGAAATGGCCAAATATTGGCCCGATATAATCCAAATTGGACCGACGTTTAGCCAATGCATTGTGCTACTATATACACGAGAAGAGAATTTTCTTTTCAAATTTATCCTGAAAATCATGTAATCGTGGGACAACGTGGCATTTTGGAGAACTCTTTGAGTTTTTGAAATTTTACCATACATTTTGCTAGTAAACTATACAAGTATAAAGAGAATTTTCTTTTAAAATTTACCCGGAAAATTATGTTTTTACATAATATTGATTACATGATATTCAGGATAGATTTTAAGAGAAAATTGCCTGTGCAGAGCATCCGGTCGGATTGATACAATTTTTAGGCGAACTTGGTATTTTCCCAACTTTGCTTCCTCCAACTAAATAAATTGCGCGCCGATCATCCGCCCGAATCATCCGACTAATTAACCGCCAATTAAGCTGATTGGAGCTCGGTCGAAGTCGCCGCGGGCGGAAAGCGACGAGTGTCTCTTGGGCGCGGATCGGCGAATCGCGAGGCACGCGCGATTCGAATCGTCCATTGGGGCAGCCGGGACTCCGGAACGGCCGCGCCGCGGCGGGCCGCTATTGGTCGTCGCGATCGTCTAACGGGAGGCCGGTCGATACGCTCGCCGGCGACCAATGGCGCTCTAACACCAGTTCTAACGATCCGCTTCTGCAGTGCGTGCGCGGCGTGTGCCTTTCGGAGCAGGAAGAGAGAGAGAGAGAGAAAGAGGCCGCTAGCCCCCGCCATTCTTGTTTATCACATCTCTCGAGTGCGGACATTCGGTATAAATAGTGACTGCGCTGAAGAATACCCGTTCGGAAAATGCTGACGTAGTGACGCGACTGTGAATGACAGCCAGCTGACACGAGTAAGTTGCTCGCCGCTCGATCCAAACGGCGCGATCTCGTGGTCTCGCGCGATGAATCACCGGTAACCCCGGCAGCTCTCTTCCCTCCCGCCTCCGCCCAAGTGACAGAAGTCGTGTGTAACTCGTAGCGTAGTGTATGCACGTAACGATGCTACACAGACATCGCGAGGTCAGGAGGCAAAGCCGATATCCAGTCGTCAAATAAGGCCGAGGTAGCCGAGGAAAAAACGTCCGTGTGAAAAACAGTGCGATAGAGGCGAGAGAGAGAGAGAGAGAAAGGGAGGGAGAAAACGTCCGATCTCGCAATCGCGAGATCGGACGCGAAGATCCTTGCCTCGCCGGAATGAAACGTCCGACGCGCGCATGGCACGCATACACCGCGGGCGGAGTCGTGCGGTAATCGTTAATTAGACTGTACGTGTAATTGCGGCTCGCGCGACGCCGGTGTGGCGTGACCGTAAAAGAGCCCGCGCGGCCGAGCAGGCTCGTTATCGCGACCGTGTCGCAACCGCGCCTCGCCGATAGCGGCGTACAGTTTCGCCGGGTCCTAGCTCTCCGCGCCCGCCGTCGCCCTTCCGCGTAGCGCACGCGCGCGTCACCCGCCACGGGCAGAGCGGAGCGTGGAGTGGAGCGTGGCAAACTCGTCCTCACTCTCGTCCGTCCGGTGGGCCCGGTGGCACGTTTCGGATCGCGCCCGAGCGGGTAAGTGCGCGCGCGTGTGCGTCTCCTCTCGCCAGCCGACGTCTCGCCCTCCCTCTGTCTCTCTCTTCTCGCCGAGCGGCCGTGCGTCCGTTCGCGCGGAGGCTCCTTCCGCGTGCTCCTCAATTTCTCACTCGCGGCGAGTCGCGTTGATTAATCTCCGTGACGTGAGCGCGCGCTCCTGATTTCTTTCGAGACTTGGCTTTCGTTGGGTATCGTGTTGGCTGGGCGTTGACGAGTCGTCTGTGACTTAGTTTTAGATTGGACGTAAAACGAGCGTGCGATTTTCAATCCGACGCGTTGAAGCTATTAATCGTCTCCCCCCACGAATACTTGCAGGGCACAGAAAAATGAGTATTTTCCTAAATATATCGGCCGCCTTTTGGTCGCCGAAGATTTGGTTGCCTCCCAACATCACGTGGGAGGACATCAGTCCGAATGCAGACAATAAATATGCGAATTATCAGCATTTAATATTCCCGCTGCCCATGGCGTTTGTTCTCCTAGGAATAAGATACACTCTTGAAAGGTAAGCTTCTCAGGCCTCGTTGTATAAACAAGTCTGTCTTATTTGTGATATAAACGTTTCGCCTTGAAAGAAAATTGTTTTTGGAAAGCTTGCGATCAATGCGTTGCAGAATGTAATTCAAGAGTTTCTACGAATCTTTACATGGAGTGCAAGGCGATTCTTTGTGCTAAAAGAAACAGACATAGATAACATTACATAATAAAAGAGGATATCAATTTGGTCAACTTTTATCATGTTTTAAACACAGCGTGCGAAAAGTTCAAGGACTTGCTATAAGCGACTGTGGAGCGCACGCCGGTTCTTCTCGCCATAGATAACTCATTCATTAAGTTGAACCAGCGAAAACTTTGCTAAAGGAAAAAGTTGCCTTGCACTCTGTACGCGCGAATTTTGGGACAGCCCGTATTATAGTTTAATCATTCAATCATGTTTATATACTTAGATATGATCCGTCTTCTTTTTTTTAAATAGGTATTGCTTTGCTCCCTTCGGAAGGTTTCTTAGTATAAAAAATAGCAGAAGCAAGAAGGCAGTAGCCAATGAGATATTAGAAAAAGCATATCTTAGTAAAAAAACCAAGTATAAACAGGTGAGTAAAAAAAATTGAATATCATTGGTATCGTGTGTAGTCGATTATTAATAGTAATGCCCTGTGATCTGTGATCGATGATGCGGAGAAAGTTTTTTTATAATCCATTATATTTCGCTCATTATTTGCTGCCGTGTTTTCAGATTTTGGGTTTGGCTAAGCAATTAGATTGGTCTGAGAGGCAAGTGGAGAGATGGCTACGGCTGCGCCGCTCTCAGGACAAGCCGTCTACTCTCACGAAATTCTGTGAAAGTTGGTTAGTCATAGCGTGTTAGCGCGACGTTTCGCATTACGCATAAACGTCGCATCGACACTACATACGAGCGATCTCTGTCTATTCCAGTTGGAGATGTTTTTATTACGCGTCTGCGTTCTGCTATGGCGTTGTTATCCTGTGGGACAAACCGTGGCTTTGGGACATAAATCACTGTTACTACGATTACCCCTATCATCCCGTCACCAATGACGTATGGTGGTATTACATGGGGTCAATGGCATTTTACTGGGCATTAAGCTTCTCTCAATTCTTCGATGTGAAGAGGAAAGACTTCTGGCAGATGTTTATTCACCACATAGCCACGATTTCGCTCATGTGCTTCTCGTGGGTCGGCAACCTGACGAGGATCGGCAGTTTGGTCTTGCTCGTGCACGATTCCGCGGATATATTCTTGGAGGTAACGCCGCACGAAGGAGCACGCGATCGCTCCCCCACACAGCACAGAAAGATTGCAGGAAGATTGCAGAAATGTTACATTGCAAGATTGCAATATTGCAGCAACGTTGTGCAACATTGCTGCAACGTTTCTGGAGGATTGCAGCAACGTTGAAATGCCCGCCCTCAGAGAGATTGCAGTGCAACATTATAGCAATGTTGCAGTGCAATATTTTTGGAATAATTTGTCGTTGTACATAAGCAGAGAATTTACTAATTACATATGCATCCGGGCCTTTTTCAATACACAGCAAGCTATTGCGAAGCAACCTAAGGAGATTATGTCACTTCGCAATAGCTGGAGATTGCGAGCAACACCGCATTGATCAAGTACTTAATAATTCGCGCATTATTGGTATCAACGAAAATAACATTATAAAATTCTCGTAATTAGAAACATTTTTTAAATAGAAAATATAGTATTTTCATTATTTTTGAAACATTGCTATCGAAAGTTTGCAATTTTATATCCCTGCAATGTCTCTGCAAGATTGCAACGTTTCTGCAATGTAACTGCAACCATCTGTGCTGTATGGGCTATTTCACGGAAATTTTGTATTACGGTTTATATCGCATTCTCGATTTCCGCAGGCGGCAAAAATGGCCAAGTATGCAAATTGCCAGAAAGTTTGCGACTGTATATTCGCCTTCTTTACGCTTTTCTGGATCGCAACGCGTATTGGTGTGTATCCATTTTGGATAATTTATAGGTACGTATTAGTGTATGTGTACAAATTTGAATGTACCTCGGCTGCAAATTATATTATGCCGATTCTGATTCTATTGTATGTTACAGCACAACTGTACAGGCGCCTAAGATAGTACCGATGTTCCCGGCGTACTATATCTTCAATTCTTTATTAATTTTATTACTGTTTCTCCACGCAATTTGGACTTATTTAATCCTTAAGATCGCATATCGCGCCTGCAACGCTGGTCAGGTACGTGCTGCTGATTTATATAAATTGTCGCACGCACTTTCGCTGGAAATTTATCTTTTTATTTATTTTTTAATATATTGACGAATGAACGAACGTACATGTCTACGTACTAATATTTTCTTGTGGGAAAACTATTACAGATGGAGGGTGATATTCGCAGTAATAGCAGCGACGAAGTATCCGACACTTCGGTCAATAATACTCCCATAAACAGTAACGCAAATTACGTTAACAAATCAAATTCGAAACCAAAAAACCACTAACAACAGTGCATGCTATGTAGGCTATTACCTTAAAAGCCGATTCCAAGGTAGAAAATTCATCCGGACGTTCAAGCCAGGTGCTAATCTTCCTTCCTACGAGTATAATAAAATCTTGAATGTGACTTTAATCCTGTAATCTGAGCCGCTAACGTTAACGCGCCTATTTAATCTCTCGTGAAATTGAAATATATACTTTCTCCCGTTTCCCCTTCATTGGTGTTTCCCTGAAAGCAATCCAGTGCTTCGTCACAAGTCCGCCTTTGTCACAATCCTCTCTCAGTTTTCAACCATGTATTTGCGTTTGAGAATAAACAATATACAAGTATATATACACAAAGGACAACGAAAGAAAGAAAAGGAAAAACAAGTAGGGACATACCCCGAGAATATCAATGATTATTCGCTAATTTATATGATTCCACGTTATTTAAGAATTCAATTATAAATATACATTTCTTTCCGAACGAATTCTTAATGCTTAGTTAAGATAAGAATGGACCAAAGCCGCCAAGACGTTCGGCGTCTGACCTCCGTCAATTTTCTCAGAGTCTAATATCTCCTAACTACTTTGAACAAAAATGTATTTATTTATTTTCGTATACTTTGTGAGCGTCAGTCAGTGATTGATAAGCATAAGAGTAATTCGATTAATAATAAATTTCTATTAATCACATACGATTTTATCTTATTTTCATCTTTCGACACGAAACTTCAACTTCGAACTGTGCGCCAGTGCATAATTCACAAGTTGCGACAATATAGTTTAAGCCTAAGCGCATCGCTCGAGTCGTTAACAGAGAAGGCAATTTTTTAATATAATACATAGGTCACCAAATAAATGTTACGTAAATTGTACGTTGTGTACTTACGCACGAATCTTCACGAATCATCGGTATTAATTATTCTTACGTAATAGCGGCACGCATAATCCTCGTGTATCTCCACAATAAAACTTCCCTGCTGATTCTCAGACGTTCCCGTTTTTTGCTTCTTTGCCCTCTGCCCCCTTTCATCATACGCGTAGAAAAAAAAAGCAAGAGATCGTCGCACGGTTCTCCTCGTTTAAAACGTCCGCCATTTGGCGAGCAGCCAGAATTTCGTTCGCTAAAGACTTGTTTTCTGCACTAGTGAACAGTAGGTACAGTAAACTAGAATGAAAAATATAGAGGAGAGTCCTCTATTATAAGATATAGGATTCTAATATGAGATAGGTTTTCAACGTCCAAATTCAACCATAAATCTCTTTTTTTTTTCGCAACGATTACACGATCTAACGATCAACTTTCCGCCAAACAGATTTCATTCCAAGGGCAATAAATTTATGGTGGAACCATCCGCTATCTCATATCAAGGACTTGTCTCATAATAGGGGACTTTCCTCTACTTGTCTAGTTTATTGCACTAGTTCAATGTGCAGCAACGGAAAACAAGGTTCTATATGTAAGGCGTGTGTGTCTTTCATTTCTCCGTCATCTAATTATATGTCTGTCTCATTTAAAACGCAGAAGGTGCAGTTACGAAGGACGGGGGCCCGTGGTGATCGCCTCACCACCGTGATTGCTCCGAAAGACCGTCCCCGCCTTCTCTCTTCCTCTTCGGGAAGAGAGAAACACACCTTTCCGCGGCGCGCGGCGAGATAAGGGACTCGATCACGGATCTTTTTCCCGGTAAAAATTTTTCATGCATGAACGTGAACAAATATACAGGGTGAGTTTTATCTCGCGAACCAGTCTTTTGCCATGAGAGGTGGATCACCGACCGAAACTGTAGCCAACCCGGGAAAAAAATGGAAAAAATATTGTCATATATGTACATATGTCTCAATCATGTAACGTCTAATTGCATATTGAGAGCTGTAATTAGCATGGTTGGGCAGTAACGCGTTACTTAAGTCACGCTGTTACCGTTACAGTTACTTTTGTTTGCTAACGAATTGGTAACGGCGTTACATTTTTTTTCCTGTAACTGTAACGGTAACGAATATAACAGTTATATTCATCGTTACTTTTCATATTTTATACTTTATAAATGTTTTGTATACTTTATGAATCGATCTTCAAGTTTTGATACTGTATATGTATGTCTATATAATTTTATACAGTTCTGTATACTTTCATTGATTTATACATGCTTTCATATGAAACATTTTTTATGTGAAAAAGTGCTTATTTGTAATTATGTATAATTATGCACGCTCATGCATAAAAATTTTTCTCTAGCGTAGACTCGTGAAAAATTTCATCAACGAATTCAATTTGTCATCAAAATCTTCACTTTTCACGAGTTCACGCTTGAGAAAAAGATTGACGATTGATTCCGGTGTCGCAACCTCGACGTTTCGCCATCTCCGCGCTTATTCGCGATATCGCACTATCGCACTTACATTTAAATTTACACTTATCGCGCGCCTCGCGCCGGTTCGCGGCGCGATTGGCGGGAATACGATCAACATGGCGGCGTCAAACGACCCAGGCACAGTATAACCAGTATGCCCACTCGCTCTTTTGTTTCACGTTCGCGCCGATCCGTACTGCGCATCCGACATGTTTTAGCTATGACCAATCACAGGATTTTTGTACGTGTGTTAGTGCAAAGTCGGTGTGACATCGAAAAATTTGCAGTTTTGACGAATAACGCGTTAATACTTTTATACGTTGGAGCAAGTAATTACATTAATTACTTTTATTAGAACATTTTTTTCGTAGGTTATACTGTGACCCAGGCTCGTTGCTCTCGTGACGCGGCGTCTACCCTTTTTTCTTCTTCTTCCTCCCGAGAGACCCCGTCGGCCGTCACGTCCGGCAGCCGGCTGCGCCATGCGGCCGAAGCTCCGGCCCGCCTCGACGATACGTACGGACGTCGGGGAGCGGGGAGGGGAAAGCGTGACATTCATGTGACATTGAAATTTCAGCCGGTCCATGCCGCGGTCACGCCACCGATCTCGCTAATCGTACGCACGTCGCCGCGGTGAAAGCATGGGTGGCAAGTGGTCAAGCATGGATCCCTCGCAGGTCGAGGTACCGGAGATAGACGTCCTCCTCGAGAGGGACCCGTATCTCAAGTCGTACGAGAGTGACATCCGACGCAGGTGTGCATTTATTTGTAGCGACTTTACGCGCGACTTCGTGACGTCGCGACTTCGCCGACAATAACCGGGTGTTTCGGTAACTGTTACCCTCGCCTTTCCAGGTACGCCCTGTTCAAGGATTACGTGGAGAAGGTGGAAGAGGGGGACGGGGACCTGAGGCGATTCACTACTGCATACAAGGACTTTGGTATTCATATCCAGGATGACAATAGTGTCGTCGCGAAGGAATGGGCACCTGGTGCGCAGGAGGTGTTTCTGACAGGAGAGTTCAGTACGCGTCGTTTTCTCATTTTGTATAACATATTACTTGCTGAAATTACTTTTTATCAGTACAACTGCTTTGTTGTAATAGATAATTGGCAAAAAACCGCCGCGCCGTACAAAAAATTGGAATACGGCAAGTGGGAGTTGCATCTTCCGCCGAATGCGGACGGCAGTTGCCCCTTGAAGCATAATTCAGAAGTGAAACTAATCATTAAAAGTCACAATAACGAGCTACTCGAAAGGTTGAGCCCTTGGGCGACGTACGTGACGCAGAAGGCGGACAAATCGGAAGGGACCACTTACAAACAGCGTATATGGCACCCGGAAAATGTATTGGACGGTTGAAAAGAAGAAAAGTGCCTCTGCCGCGCGACAAAGAGAGACCATTTACGACGTTTCCTTTTCAGACTTACGAGTTCAAGCACCCGAAACCAAGCAGGCCGGCGAGTCTCAGGATTTACGAGTGCCATGTTGGAATTGGCACGCAGGAATTTCGCGTTGGCACCTACTTGGAATTCGCCAGGGATGTGATACCGCGGATCGTGAGGCAAGGCTACAACGCGATACAGCTAATGGCGATCATGGAGCACGCCTACTATGCCAGCTTTGGATATCAGGTTGTGTTATTCACCCAACGGTCTGGTTTACATTTAAGACATTATCTATCTATACCTTGTAGTCGACCTATTCGCGATAGGTGACTGTGTAAACAATTGATAAACCACTCGACCTGACTTGGGTCAGGCGCGCTATTCCGTGCACGGTTATCGACAACTATCGATATTGATAGCAGCGTTCGCGCAGCTCTCTTACATGATAGAAAAGCTGCGCAGACATCGTTTACGATATTGATAGTCGTCGGTGTAGCCGAGTATGAGAATTCTGTAACTTGCTGTCGAGGCTTTTCGGTATCGTTAACTAGCAACCAGGGTTGGGAAAGTTACTTTATAGAAAAAAATGAGTAAAGGAAAATTAAGGCCAATGTATTTATAAGCAATGAGTAAATTAACGAAGTAGATGTTTAATTTAAAAAAATCAGTGAACAAAAGTCTGTGGAATACATTAATTAAAGAATTTGATTAAGTTAAATTCTTTAATTAATGCAGTGCTCGGAATTATTTGCACTTCTGGTTGGATTTTTGAGACAAACTCCTGCTTTTGTCCTCTTGCCGCGCGCACTCCAGCGAATGTCAGTTTACTTCTCGATAGTGGGGCGTGTATCAGGACCCTCCTGATTCAGGAGCGGCCCTGTTTGAAGAATGAAATTCTCGGAAATCCACTTCTCGGAAATCCACTTCTCGGAATTTTTGATAGTGCCACCTCTTTGCTGATCATGTTCTCCTGATGCATTGCCAGTTTTCGACATTTGCGATTTTCGCGATTTGAAATTCTCGGAAATCCAATCCTTGAAATTTCAGATAGCCTAGCGAAACAGTAACAAGTTAACCGCCGCGCCGGCGTGGCCGCTCTCAGGTTTCTTTCTGGTTGCTTTTGAAACAGGGCCGCTCCTGAAACACGCCCCACTGTCGAGAAGTAAACTGACCGTCGCTGGAGTGCGCGCAGCAAGGGGACAAAAGTAGGCGTTTGTCTAAAAAATCCGGCCAGAAGTGCAAATAATTCCGAGCACTGAATTAATGTATTCCACGGATTTTTGTTCACTGATTTTTTATTAATTAAACATCTACTTTGTTAATTTACTCGTTGCTCGTAAATACATTGGCATTAATTTTCCTTTACTCATTTTATTTAAAAAAGACGAGCTTGTACTTATTCTTACTTTATAGAAGTATCTAAGCAACATATGATCAAATCGATCGATTTGAATATGTGAATTTGCTGACGATAATAATTCCACTTGTAAGAAAACTGCTTTATGTTTGAAAAAAAAGAAATCTGTGCGTAGAACAAATGTGGAAAGAAACGGTATATAAATTCACATTTTTAAATATAAGATTTACAAGTTGGGCTACCCACATCTTGCCTTGTGACCCACATTGGCGTTTTCTCATATGTTTTAGCTAGGGGTCTTACTTGAAAGTTTATTATAAAAGTATCTAGTTACAGTTACAGCTACTCAAAAAGTAACGAATCGTTACTTTGCAGTTACTTAGAATGAAAATAAAAATATCAAATCTGCGTTTAAATTATTAAGTGTCGATAAAAGCGTTTATGTGCAAACGCAAGACCTAATGCGATCTGTGGCGGTTCAAAAAATATATAAAGTAACTATTAATGTAACTATAAAATTAGTTACTAGCTATCGAAAAAATGTAACCGAGTTAAGTTACAGTTGCAGCTGGAGAGAAAGTAACGAAGTTAAGTTAGAGTTACAAAAAAAAGTAACTGTAACTTCGTTACAAGTAACGAGTTACTTCCCAACCCTGCTAACAAGACCCCATGAAAACTGTGTCTTTTTCAAAAATTGTCTTTGTCATTGGCTGCCGCTAGTTGACAATACCGAAAGGCATCGATAGCAAGTTACAGAATCCCCGTACTGGCCTGATGTTGGCCGCGCGAACTAACGCATGTAAACGCAGGTGACCTAAAATTGCTCACATTTAAAGAGATGACGTTCGACTGAAGGCGTTCACATTTAGACTTAATTTTTACCTATGTTGCTTATACTTGACCTGGAAGTATTATAGATGTAAACGTTTACCCTGAAAGCTTACTTTAGGTCAAGTTATAAGTCAGGTTGCGCGAGCAAAACACGATGTAAACTATGCCATTGATTTGTAAAACAATTGTACAAATTATCCGTGGTACCCGACTTCACGTTTCTCGTTGAAATTAAAGGTGACCTCTTTCTACGCGGTCTCGTCTCGCTACGGAAATCCAGAAGAGCTGAAAGAGCTGGTCGATGTAGCGCATCAGCACGGCCTTTACGTTTTGCTGGATGTGGTGCATTCGCACGCTTCCAAGAACACGCTCGACGGACTGAATATGTTCGACGGCACGGATTCGTGTTTCTTCCATAGCGGCCCTCGCGGCGAGCATTCGCTGTGGGACAGCAGGCTGTTCAATTACGCGGAATACGAGGTGCTTCGGTTCCTGCTGTCCAACCTGCGTTGGTACACCGAGGAATATAACTTTGATGGATTCAGGTACTTATTTTCATGAGCGACGAATTGTACAAAATTTTGTAACTCTCGTATGTTGCGTAACAAATATAATTTGTACCGAGATCACAACGGATCGTGTTCTGCAGGTTTGACGGCGTTACATCGATGTTGTATCACTCGAGGGGCTTGGGACAAGGTTTTAGTGGTCATTACGATGAATATTACGGTTTAAATGTCGATGTGGAGGGCATAGTGTACTTGATGCTCGCCAATCACATGTTGCACGAGCTATATCCCGAAATCGTCACGATAGCCGAGGATGTTAGCGGAATGCCAGGCGTTTGCAGGTGAGACTCGTGTCAACTTGTCACTAATTCGATGCGGATGAAAATATTCGTTTTAAACATTTCTCAAAATATCCAAGACCCGTCGCCGAAGGTGGTATGGGATTTGACTATCGATTAGCCATGGCCATTCCTGACAAGTGGATAAAGTTGTTGAAAGAAGTCAAAGACGACGATTGGAACATTGGCGACATTTGTTGGGCGCTCTCCAATCGAAGATGGATGGAGAAAGCGGTCGCTTACTGCGAATCTCACGATCAGGCCCTCGTGGGCGACAAGACGATCGCGTTCTGGCTCATGGACAAGGAGATGTATACGCACATGAGTACGATGAGTTCGCACAGCGACACCATCTCTCGTGGCATCGCCCTCCACAATCTAATTACGCTGATCACGCACGGTCTGGGTGGCGAAGCTTATCTGAACTTCATGGGTGAGCAATAAATAAACAAATCATTTTAGATTAATCTTTTGCTGAGCAATTATATATCTGGAGAGTGAAAGAGAGCTTGGTATCTTTTTTTTTTAAAGGTACAAATACAGATATAGTTACAGATACAGGTACTATCTGTATCTGTAGTTTTTTTTCTGAACAAATAATTCCGTGCATCTTATATCTACATCTGAAGCCAAAGAAATTCAAGAAATGTAACTTGCATCTCTTCACTGAATCGATTGATTCAGAAATTTATCTTGTATCTGTAACTTTGATGAAGAAAGTCAACCAAGCTCTGATCTTGGCCTGTATTAAAGGGTCCGTTCTTTATAGCTCAACTGGCTGCACTAGTTTAGAGTTTCTTCCCCTTCTAATGTGGAGGAGGGAAAAAGATAAACTCCCGAACTGTGCAGTCAATTCAGCTATGAAGAACAGACCATATATCTAAAATGAAAGAAATTCAAGAGATATAGCTTGTATCTGCATCTTTTCACTAAATAAGTTAGAGATTTATCTGGTATCTGTATCTAAAGTCGAAGAAACTCAAGAAATGTAACTCGTATCTCTCCTCACTGAATAAATTGAAATTTGATCCTCGGTGAAAAAAGATACCAAGCTCAAGAAAGAGAGATACACATCCAGTTCACGAGAGAAAAATGTGATAGAATCAGAGATGCTCTAAACGTAGTACGTTTTACAGGCAACGAGTTTGGCCATCCCGAATGGCTGGACTTTCCGAGGATTGGAAATGCAGATAGCTATCATTACGCCAGACGTCAGTGGAGTTTGGTGGACGACGAACTACTAAAGTATAAATACATGAACAATTGGGATCGTGCTGTGAATACGCTCGAGGAGAAGTACGGATGGTTACATGCCAATCCTGTAAGTTGGTTTATAAGTTTCCTTCTCCTCGTTATCCGCGTGATTTTGGTGCTCAACGATTAAGGATTAAATGTTAAATTACAAGAATTAAGAGTAACACTTAAATTTATAGGGCTATGTGAGCTGGAAGCACGAAGACGATAAAGTGGTCGTGTTCGACCGTGCCGATCTCGTGTTTGTCTTCAACTTTCATCCGGTCAAGTCGTTCGCCGATTATCCAGTCGGTATAAAGAATCCAGGAATGTACAAGATCGTTCTGTGTAGCGACGACGAACAATTTGGGGGGCAACGTCGCGTGGACACGAGCGTGCAGCATTTTACGAAACCGGAACCGTTTTCTGCGTATCAACACAAGATGATGATCTACATTCCGTGCCGTACAGCAGTGGTTTACGCACAAACTGGTAACGTATCGATACGACGCGTTTCGCATTACTGCTCGTGGCAATTGATATTAATAACATTACATTTTAGATCGCTAACTGATGTCTGCTGACTGAAGACTATTTGCAAATTGCATAATGATAGATCACGTCTACCGAACGCGGATGAATACAAGAGATCATATTTTTGTAAAGTATCTATGTACATACACACCTAGGAATCTAGAGATATATCGTGGTAAATCTTGAAAAGGGAAACCTGTGATTATGCATATTTCTCTAGACTTCTATTACAAACCAAATTATAGTAAATGCCGGTGCATTTAACTTAATTTTGTCAGACGTTGTTTTATTCTAAGTCATTGTAATTAATATATTTTGGATAGACTTTGTTAAAATATTTTTCTACAAAATTATAAAATTAATATATTTTCTATAACAGAAGAGAGCGTGACGATTTATTATGGTCTCGTGATTTATTCGATTCTAATAATAAATTTCACCTGTGTATTCAACAAGCATAGCTGCTTTACCAGGTGGATCTTAGGAAAGTAACTCTTTACACTTTTTTTTGGTAACTCTAACTTGCTTAACTAATTTAATAGTTACTTTATATATTTTTTAAACCTCCACAGATTGCATTAGGCCTTACGCATAAACGCCTTTATCAACGCTTTACAATTCAAATGCAGATTTGATATTTTTATTTTTATTGCAAGAAAGTAACTGCAAAGTAACGATTCGTTACTTTTTAAGTAACTGCAACGCGTTAGGTACAGAGCACGAAGCAACGTAATAGCTTACGGCAAAGACGCAATCGTAAACGTAGATAGCGCACAAGCTTTGGCGTATGTCGTACTTGCCTCCAATTACACATGGCGTTATTTTACGCCAACGCTTGTGCACTATCTACGCTTACGCTTGTGTCTTCGTCGTAAGTTATTACGTTGCTTTGTGCCCTGACCCTTATCTATCAGAATTGGAAACTGTAACTAGTTACATTTTTAGTGAAGAAACTGTAACTAGATACTTTTCTAAAGTAACTTTCCCAACTCTGATATATACATATACATACACGTTTTTCAAAAACTTAAAAAATTTATATTTTTTTTACATAAATACAAGAGAATTCTTTCCTAAAATTCATCACGTTGCTGAAACAGCGTCTATATCGCTCCCAGTTACCGCAGCATTGAATTCGGCCTCGTTCACGTCATAGTCTTTCATCTTACTTTCTAGCAGCCACCACTTCTCTAGAAAGCCCACGTCCACTATCCTCTCGTGGAAGGTTGCGTATCGTGGTTTTAGGTACGGGCAGACGGCCTTGTACAAGGAGCAGTCTCTGTCATAATTGTCCAACCAGATCAGGGACAGAACGCCAAGATTGAGTCTCCTGATCAACCCCTCGTTGTAGCATTGCTCCAACCATTTTATGTGCTGCACAGAAACGGGATTGCGTATGGGCTCTCCCACCTGTATTAGCTTCATACTGCTCTGTACTAGTTGCTCCCTGAACACGGTCTCGTCCGGATTGTGTCGATTGGAGTAAACACAGCTTCCTAGAACTGCGATAAAATAATTTTTATATAAATACAGTACTATAGGCACGTTACTAGTACACGCGTCACGTCGTAGAAGGTGACAAAATGTACAGATACGCAGGGGGGAACGACACGAACGTGTGATATACATCGCGGTACGCGCAGGATGCTGCCAGCAATCCTTGGCCGTGTCAAACGCGGCGTCCTTGTAATCCATGAGCAGACTGTGCCAATATCTCGCTGCAACACGGCAAAATTGTTTGCGCATCAATCGGAATGTGACAATTCGATCGCGTCTTACTATTTACCTCCGCGCTCGAGAAACGTGCCCTTGATCCTCTCGGGCATCTCGTAGCTCCTGATTCTCACACCGATCTCGTTGAACCTGGACGTGAGCAGCCTGAAGGTCGCCCTGAGCCTCTGAGGAAGCTGGGACATTTGCTGAGAACCCATGTCGAATCTTTGCGCGGTGATCCCGGGTCACGATACCATTGTACGAATTTCTGGAGAGATCTCGGCCGCGACGGCATTTAAATATAGGCGACAGGTTAGGTCACGCCGGAAACATACCGAGGCGTCGCGCGCGCCATCTCGCGGGACTCCGTTGTCCACGTCCGATTGGCCGCTCGCTCTGGGGGAATTGGCTATATAACGTTCAGCAGAAAAAACTACTTTGCAACTGTTGTAAAATTCATGAATCTGATTGGCGTATGCTCTTAAATTTACTCAAGATTAAGAGAATACACCAATCAGATTCACGAATTTTACAACAGTTGCAAAGCAGCTTTTTCTGCTGAACGCAGCCATTGTCTTTCAAGGGACTTTCCGGCGCGCGGCCGTGCGCGCACTATCGCGAGCCCATCTTT